GGAGCCTTGTCGAGCCATGGGCCCGAAACTCACGTTGGTTATCCGAGCAGGTCATCGGCTAACTCTACCAGGCAAAACATGTGAGCACCCCAAAGAGGCACATTACGAGGCGTTCCTCACACCTCTGCGAATGAGTTGCAAGGAAGTCTCAGGCGGGATCCCCCTCCATGGTTACAAGTCGCTCGGGGAATTCGACAACAGAGCGGTGGACTCCAGGGCCGAGGCGGAGCAGCTCGCGGCAGAGCTGAACTTCGCGTTGCCTCCCGCCTGAGCGCGGCCGCGATTAACTCGGTGCCTGCGGGGTTGTCCCAACGGCTTGCTCTCGCGCCCCAGCGGCTCAAGGGGTTGTCCCAACGACGGTTGCCCCGATGGCTTCACGATTTTGCCATCGGAGAACGCGCCCGTGCCGGGCGCGGCGGCGAGGGCGCCGAGGGAAATCGGCAGGCGCCCCCTTGCGAGGAGCCCCCTGCCAGGAGGAGGGAGAGGCGCATGAGAACAGGCGGGATGGAGATGAGGAGGGGGGGAGAAGGAGGAGGTGGAGGAGGAGTGGGAGGAAAAGAATGAAGAAGAAGAGAAAAAATTCGCCGGCCCAACGGGCCAGAGGCGTGCTAAGATCTCCGGTAACTGCTCAACAATATTTCTAGTTCGAGCGCGCGGGGCGGGCCCTGGGGGTCCCCGGACGAAAAGTACCCCGGCAAGGTCCCGGCAAGGTCCCGGCAAGGTCCCGGCAAGGTCCCGGCAAGGTCCCTTTTCGGAGCCCAGGAGGGCTCCAAACGGTCCAAGAGAGGCCCGAGAAGCCCTCCAGACGGTCCAAGAGAGCCGGGAGACGCCGAAATATCACTCCCAAACGCCTGCGATGGCCTCAAGACGGCCCAACAGGCCTTCAAGACGCCCCAAGAGGTCCCTAAGCGGCGCCCCAAGAGGGCTCCCACAAGCAAAAATCGTCCCATTCCCTTAGGAAAACGTGCATTTTAACATATCCGCCTCTTCGTCTTTCACACCTTTCAAGGCGGTCCAAGAGGCCCCCAAGATCACCCCAAGACGGCCCGAGAGACCCTCAAGACCGCTCAAAGACGGCCCAAGAGCGCTCCAAGAAGGCCCAACAAACCCTCAAGAACTCTTTTTCGGAGCCCAGGAGGGCTCCAAATCGGTCCAAGAGGGGCCCGAGAAGCCCTCCAGACGGTCCAAGAGAGCCGGGAGACGCCGAAATATCACTCCCAAACGCCTGCGATGGCCTCAAGACGGCCCAACAGGCCTTCAAGACGCCCCAAGAGGTCCCTAAGAGGTCCCTAAGCGGCGTCCCAAGAGGGCTCCCACAAGCAAAAATCGTCTCATTCCCTCAGGAAAGCGTGCATTTTTAACATATCCGCCTCTTCGTCTTTCACACCTTTCAAGGCGGTCCAAGAGGCCCCCAAGATCACCCCAAGACGGCCCGAGAGACCCTCAAGACCGCTC